AATCTGCCAAATGATGCAGGCCAGTGTATGTAATTGGCCTGTCTCCAACACAGTTTATCATTCCATTAATTTCTCTATTATCTGCATATTTCAGTATCATATAATCTTCCAGAGTACTGGTGAAGATACTGAATATTGTAGGGCTAAAATGTATGCCTGTAGAATTATATTAGAAAGGTTCTTTTTAAGTATATATTTTTTCATTTTTACAATTAGTTTTATATAAAAATAACTTTTATACAAAATATTTTTTCTGGAAAATATTTTAATATAGAGTATTTTCTGGAGAAATACTTTCTAACTCTGATAAATATCCTGATTTTATGAAGCACTTATTATATTGTCTGAATGCTCAGTAAGAGAAAGCAAAATGTTTCAAAGGTGTCTAAGGATATGATATCCTGACTAGGCTACCTTTACTGACAACTTTTAGAATATCCTCAAAGAGCAGTATCAAGTGTTTTTGATTACAGATTTTCCATGATGAAGTGTTCATTGGTGCTAATTATGTCATCATCTTGTATCCCATATTGCTTTTATATGACATTACTAAGGGTCAGCATCAGGAACATTAACTTAGTGAGCCACACCATCCCCTCAAGAATTAGTAAAGGTTAATTTTAAAAGTTACAAGCAACATTTTTTCAGAATATTTTATTCAGTTCTCCCTCATTCCCCAAGTAACAGCAATGTATTGAAGACCCATTAGCCTATGTTTATTTTGGGGGGTAAATGTTGTCTGAGGTTTTGATTTTAAAATGATGAATAGTGACAAATAGCTCTTTAAAAAAAAAATGTTGTTGATTACTATTACTACATTTTCAAATAATAATAATAATCAAATCACTTTTATTAATGAATAATGAACAACTATGCGCCTTTTTTATTTTTAGTATTTAATGAAATTATTTCAGCTGCTTTTAATTATAGTCATTTTATGTTATAAGATTGTCTTCTCAGTTTGTCTCGTTACTATTTCCAGGTTTCAAATGCTGACAATTTAAAAGCAGCTTGCATTTTTGTATATGTAGTAGTTACTGGTATATGATTCTGTACAGTAAGATGTAACAAGTTTTATTTCCTGCACGCAGGTGACCACACAGACATTCTTTTTGGTTTTACTCAGAAAATTTGTGCTTAGTATAGCATGTTGTGGTTTATTTGTTAGAACACTATAACTATTCATGTCTTGTTTCTCTAAATCTTCAGTAACACAAATGTGTATAATGGTGGTACAGAATTTCTAGATCTACTTCTCTCTGCCCATTATCCTAAGTAAAGCACATCCAATAATTTGATTATTTTAAATTCTAATTTACAGATTTAATTTCTATCTAAACCTCTTTTATCTTTTCCTTCTGAGAATTGAGAATCATAGAATGACAGAATGGCCCCTGACTTTGCAGGGAATGTTCCACTAGACCAGGTTGCTCAGAGCTCCATCCAACCTGGCCTTGAACACTAGGGATGGGAATACACAACTTCTCTGGGCAGCCTCTTCTTTACAGTTTCTCATCACCTTCACAGAATGCCTTCCTGATACCCAATCTAAACCTACTCTGAGCCTGTCACTACCTCCCTTAGCCTGTCACTACATGCCCTTGTAAAAAGTCCCTCTCCATCTTCCTTTATGGCTCTGTTCAGGTACTGGAAGGTCACAATTAGGTCACCCTGAAGCCTACTCTTCTCCAGGCTTAGCAAACCAAATTATTTCAGCTTTTTCTTGTAGAAGTACTACACTCTCTAATCATCTTAGACCTTTCAATTTTCATTTCTAGAGTTTCTCTTTGAAGGAAGGTCAAAATTTTCTTCTCTTCATACTCCTGATGCCTTTATGCTTTGATACGTAATATGACGTGCCAGGCTAAGACTAACTCTAGCCAGCCTGTCCTCTATGTCCACCTCATGTTCTTTCCTGGAACAGAGGCTAAGTAAAAGCTGAGCTACAGAACTGTAATTTAGAGGTTACAAGTAAAGTAGAACTACTAAGATGAACTCCTTGTGAGACCAACATCCACATTTCCTTTTTCTGCATGTGAAAGTGATGAGAAAGTCTGTGTTGGTGTGAGATTGATGGTCTCAGTAGCAGAATTCTGTTCCTGACCATGAAGGTGCCAGGGGTGCCACTGAGGACTGCAATGGTAGGCTGCCAGGTGGCTTTACTGCTGAAGAAACAATGTAAATCTTGCTAGAATTTCAGGAAGTTGCTTGCTCCCAGCATCCAAAATGTAATCCATGGAGGAATGAAGGCCGAATTTTTGATACGATTGATAAAGATCTGTGAGCAAGCATATAAATATCAAGGTAAAGCAAAATTCCGTTGACTAAATGTTGGCACCTGTCATCATTTGATGTGTCCTAGAGCATCCTAGATCACATTACCGTATATGAAAGGACATCTAGGTCACAGATAATGGCAAGTCAGTTTGTTCTTGGCTGGAGAAGCAGCAGACTATATAGGATACACAACAAAATTTAAAAGAGTATTGTGTGCCAGCAGCTTTTATAATGTTTTTATTTCTTTGACCTGCTTCTGGATATGGATTGTATGGATCTTAAAGGAGCTTTTCCAGCTTAGTGATTTCTTCTGTGATTGCCAGTGTAGTTAAAAGTGCACTATACTACCCTCAGTGTTCTTGAAGTGCTTACTTTGGTTTAGAAAGACATGTAATCTTTGTTTTGTAGTTTGTCCCTTATAAATTTAAGCACACTGTCATAATAACTGGGGCAGCATTTCCAGGTTAAGATCGGTTTTTCAGTATTAACAAATGAGGCTAATGTTTTTCAAACATTTTGAAAACATACTAGTCCAAAGGTCAAATAACTTCACTTCTGGTCTCCTGTCAAGTCCTTACAGCTTCAAGAGATATAGAATAATACAGTGCACTGTTTTCTTATTAGCAGAAGGAAAGAATATCATCATCTAGTAAGTAACTTATATTGCAGAGATGCTGTTATGTGTTTTGATATGGTAGCGTTAAAAACTTCAAATTTCTCTCAAGTCATTGGACCTAAGAAACTGGCTAGGATGTGAGCTCAAACTGTAGGGTAGATACTTGTGGGTGGGTTGAAGATTCGGTTTGGGTGCTTAGAGGAGGTATCTACAGGCATGCCAAGTGTCTCGTGCAACAGTTGATGGAGAGTTAGACAGTAGACACAGAGGTGCCTAGAGGCTGATTTTGTCCAGCCTGAAGTAACATCATGTAGCTGATCAGAGGAGTTGGTCCTCAAGCTCTGGTGGCTGCATTAACCTATGGGTAAATTCAGTTGTCTAAGCATAGACAGTTAGTGCCATTTCTAATGCCAGAGGATACCTGAAGCTTCTGGACAGGGTTACTATATACAACAAAGGATCTATCTGTACCCTGCCATACTTTTCTGGACTGGTAGTTGAAGGTTTGATGGAATACCTTGAAGGATCTCATATAGCATGATTGGTTGATGAAGATGGAAGCTTATGCTCCGAATGTATCTGCACACAGCTAAATATAGGTGTCTTAATTTTAAAATGAAACCCACTCAAAGTTATGCAGAAGACTGACCTGAAGCCCCCTAAGAGAGGCTGGTGCTCTTATTAGATTTCATAATATCAGTCTATTTTAAATCATCCCTTTAGTGTGGAATATAGCACACCACCAGGAATCAGATGACTGACAAGAAACAGAACTATATCAGTAGCACAGAGTCTTGTGAGAGTGACATTTTCTTTTTACCAAATCCCTATCACCTTTTGTTGAGGTGGTTATTTCCTCCTGCTGTTATGTGTTGAAGGACTTCTGTAAAAATGCTCCTTGATTTCTTCTTTCCTAATTACTTCCCAAATCATTTGTGTTAAGGTACTGACCAAAGAAAGTTAGGTGATTAAAGGGTTACCTGCAACTCACTTGGACCCTTTTCCATGTTTTTGTATGAGATATATGACATTCTTACCAGATATCAATCCAGGGATATTGCTATAAAGGGGGTGATTGATTTTTTTTTCCCCCTGGGGGAACTAGAGCTCCATGGTCTATTTCTGTGCTTCCTGACCTTTACAGTATCATCACTATGTATGAAGAAGCACTGTAGATCCATCTTGCCATCTTGTTCTTCTACAGCCAGAGGAGCTGGTGATATAGCTACTGCATATATTTTCCCTGACTCAGTCTCTCAACATAGTTCAGTACAGTTTGCTTCTGTCAAACAAAATCCTGAACTCTAGCTATCCTATTTAGCTTACCTTTTAAAGTCTGGTGACAATTGTGCATGTAAAATCAGAAGAAACAATGTGGCCCTACATTAACTACTATAGATCAGTGTTTGTGATACTTTCCAATATCTAATCTGCAGCCTTGCCCCTATCTGGTAAATATATAAGATATTTATATATTTATTACTGCACAAAAGGTACAGTGGATAGGCAAGCGGTTTATAAAATGAAGATAGAGATCTACTCATGTAGCAAGTGAGCCCACTCGTGAAACATGAAAATACAACTAAACAATGAAATATACTGGCAAAGATTGTAATTCCATATTAAATAACATGAAATATTTGAAGGTCTAATGATGAATCTTCATCTCCTTTTCAGTCATTATTCCTTCCTCTCTTTCCCACTGTAAAGGGTTTAGTTAAAAAAAAACCTGTGATATGTGACTCCATGATTTTAGTTTTGAATGGTATAGAAATGTATTGAATCCTTGTTTTGGAATATATGGAAGTAATGAAGTGTTTATGTCAGAAGTATCTCCTTGAAAAGAGGAACCAGCACTTAGTTGCACACAATTTGCTATGAAAGCAGAACACAGAAACTGATTGGTTTAAAGCAGAAATAACTGCATTTTCTGTTTTTAAATAAACACGAAGATCCTAAAAATCCCCTGTAAGGAGAACTTTCCCTTACAGGATAAAATGGAATTAAAATCGTGTCAATAAATCGTGTGAGAGACTGTATCAGTCTGTGCATTGATAGTCTGTGCATGCAGGATAAGAACATTGACTGCCTGCTAATCTATTCCCAGATGGAGGTGGATGCAGACGAGAAGCGCCATCGCACACGCTCCAAAGGTGTTCGAGGTATGTCTCTTGCTTCAGTAAATCACTCAAGGCCCCTGCTCAGGGTGACCTTCATCCTCCAGAATCTCTTTGCACGATTCATTCTGACCCTGCTTTTACACAACCTTTCTGGTAATTTTCTGTAGAAGAGGGGTACTTGTAATAGATGATAAATTTTTATATGTTTTCCATCTCTCTGCAGTTCCCGTGGAACCAGCCATACAAGAGCTGTTCAGGTTAGTGCTCTGAGTGTAAAATGTATCCCCATTAGCAATTTAGAAAATTCATGCCTTTTAATGGGTATAATGCACTTTCAAGTTCATTGGTGGTTTGCTCATGCCCTGCTGCACTGATGAAATTAATTCCCTCGAGACTTGCTAATAAAAAGCATCCCCTCTTTTTTTTTTTTCCCTTCAGTTGTTTGATTTCTCTTTCTGTCTTTGTTGCCCTCCATCTCTGTTATACCTACTGTCTGCCTGCTTTTAGCATAATGTTTCTGCAGCACACCAGCACCTATATATTAATTCTCTCTTTTGCAGCTGTCCAACGCCTGGCTGTGATGGCAGTGGTCATGTTAGTGGCAAATATGCAAGACACAGAAGGTAATATCTGTAATTTTTCATAATTTAGTGAAGAGATTTGGTAAACAAGTTATCTGGCATGACCTTGATAAACCAAACAATGATAAAAATTAGCAGTTAGATATTCTAGAAGCCATTTAGAGTCAGGGTTATTTTTTCTTTCTGAATGTCACAAAACTTAGCTCACATTTTTGCTGAGGAGACTTGCTCTCATTTTCAATCTTCTCCCAATTTTTGCATACAGTTCTCTTGCTTATGTGTTGCAAATTAAGATTTGGCCTCACTTACATATTGGCACTTGTATTCATATTATTTAATATGTTTTGTAACTGAATGAAAAAGAGCTTCTGAGCATTTTAAGTTCAATGATGAGGTTAAATTCAAAGGTCAAAGCTTAAGGCAAGTCAACAATAATAAGATTTCAAGCGTTAAATGTTATACTGTATTATAAATACCTTTACTTCAGTTTCTAGACTATGAAATGTGGAGACATCTCCTTTAAAAAAAAAATCCAGCTTTTTTATGGTTAATAATATACAAGGTAGCATATAGTACAAATACTGCATGTGCTTCAAATTAATTTAGACCTCAATCTTTAAATTTCTGTGTCTGTAAGGTCAACGTTCAGTAGTGTTGCACATCTGTACAAGCACCACTCCTTTCCTGAATCGTTTTTCCATGAATTTTTTGATGCAATATTTTGAAAATTTAACAGCTCTAGAATACATTTTCTCTCATTGCTGTGCATTTCATTTGACATATTTTATACAGCAACCCATTGTAGGAGATAAAATGGCTGATGTGTAGGCCATTGCTTTTCTGAATTGAGGGAAATGTTCAAACCAGTGTTAAATTATCCTGAAACTCTAAAGATATTTTTTCATTCTTGATTTTTCAGCTTATAAAATACTTGTGGTGTTTATAAGAGTACATATTTCACGCCAAATCTGATTACTACATTAAATGGGCAATATGGGGTTTGGGGATTAAATTGAAATGATACATTTGGGGTTAAGGCATTTATTTGAAATAGGAAAAGACTGTGGCCACTCAGTCCACTCATATGCCTTTTTCTTATCAGTGAATAAAGCTTAGGGACTAATCCAGAAAACACTCAAAATTAATCAAGAACAGTGATATTAGAATTACTTTGAATTACTTTTAAACCATATAAAACATAAAATAATTATTCACATTTATTGTCTTAATCTTCACTCATAAGACCCAAAACATTTTTGTGGCTATTGGAAGTCTTTGGTTAGAGCTTTGGTTTAGTTTGGAACACTGATTTAGGAAAAGTATCCAAAAACATTATTTTTAAATTCACTTGTGACTTCTCATTTCAAACCATGGTTTTCTTTTGTTTGTTTTCTTTATGGAAATATAAGCCTCACAAGTAATTAAAGAATGACACTAAATCCTTCTTTTCCCCAAGAAATTTCATGACCTGTCAACAGTTAAGTGATATGATTATAATGTCCTTTCTAGTTAAAAGGTTGTAGCTACATTGGTTTCTTTACATTTCATGGAATTTCTGTGCAGATATCAAAAGCAAAAGTTTTAAAACAGAAATACAGTTTTAATACAGAAAGAAACTCTTTAGCTTGAAAAATTCTGCCTATTCTTCTGAATTGCTCTACTTTTGTGTTAGGGTTAGTGTCTGTGTAAGGTCACCTTTTTGGGGAAAGAGGAAGCAATAAATGTGAGGTTTGGAAAGATTACATGCAGTTTTGAGATGTTAATTCCATATTTTGCTTTCTTGACATGATTCTGGTATGTCAGTACACGAACAGACTGAATCTCAGAGCTGTTAATTAAATGAAATTTTGGGCAGATGCGATAAGAATAAAAATTGGAAATACATCAAAATTCCTTTTTTTTCTACTAAAAAATTTGTTGGACTTTTATGTTTTCTTGTCACCATGATTGCCAAAGCATTAATCAAAATATATTTAACCAATATATGTCCTATTTAATGTAAAAACACAGAGTTCTTCATTGAGGTTTACAATGTACATTTATCTAAAATTTCTAGAAGAATTTATCTAAAATTTTCTAGAAGAGCAGTACAATTTATTTACAACCAACACCTACTAATTTTACCTTTTTGAAAGACTTTGAAGGAATTTTCCTCTTTTTCTATTTTACTATTTGGGTAGGAAAGACCCTCAAACATTTTTTTCCAAGGAAATCAGACTGTCTTAAAAATTTTATGTGTTCAGGGAATTGCATATCTCAGCTGATGCCTAACTCAATTCCGTTTAGACCTACAGAGCATTTTAATGAGGTTAAGACCTTTTCATTCACGATATCAGACCAGCTCATTATTAGGAATGAAATTCATTTGCTTCCACTAGATGTAGTCAGAGCACTCCAGAATTCTGTTTCTTCTGAAATGTCTTGTAGTCTCTGGAATTCAGGGTGGGGTTTTTGGGTTTTTTTTTTGTTTGTTTGTTTGCTTTTGTTGTTGTTTTTGTTTTTACTGGGGTTTTTGTGTGTTTGGGGATTTTTGTTGTTGTTGGTTTTTTTTTTTTTTTTTGTAATTTTATCTTTGTGACAGTGAAAACCCACCTACAGGTAGTACATTAAGCTTCAACTGAAATAAACAGATCCTTTCACTTTTTCAGATAGATTCAGGGGATGAAATGTTGTTCAGCTGCTAAAATATTATATAGAAGTTAAAGGAGAGTTGGATCTCAGGTTTTTTGCCTCAGTTGTATTTTTAATTATGAAAGAGCTTCAATGTAGGTTTACTAAGGGAACAAGCAGACTTTCTATGCCATTGATGTTTCCTTTGAGGTGAAACACAAGACTGGAATTAGGTAGGGCAACAGTGGTAAGATCTTGTATCATTTCCATCTCCTTGATGTTTTTCTTTGTGTCAAATCTTAGCTGTAAGGGAAGCAAAACCTTGCATGACTTGGTTGGTAGCTTCCTCCTGGGTGTTAAGTTCAGTGACTGATGTCAGCTTGTTGGCTGGACATGCTAATAGACAGCTTAGATGGACAAGTTTCTCTAAAGAGCACTTTAGGGCAGAATGCTGGGATCTCTAAAATTAGCGTGGTAAAAGCACCTGTCTCCGGTGGCTGCATGGAAGGGTCAGAGGGATTAACGTCCCAGTCTGGGCACTGAGGAGAAGTACCCAAAGTTGGATGGTGTGCCTGCCTTAACTACAACAGACTATTTTATTTTTCTGATTTTAGTAATACCTGGAAACCTGAAGCTAACATAGAGCCTCTATGGCACACAGCATGAGGCAATGCCTCAAGGTTAGAGTTTACACAGGTAGAACTTTGGTATCTGTTGTTTCAAACTGAACTGAAAAATAAAAGGAAGAAAAGGTTGTGAAAGATCTGAATACAAGATAGAAACAAAAATAAGCCACAAACATGTTCAAATAGTGGTGGTGACAAGAGAAGAATTAAAATCTTAGGAGTGAAAACCAGAGCATCTCCCTGGGCCATAACTCTGATGCAGGTTCTTTTAGTCCCTTGGTACCTGTTCAGGCCCACTGTGCATAGCAACATAACAATGAACACTTCTCTTCTACCTTCAGTACTGTGAATTAATTTTGAACAATAAGCTTGGTCCAGATCCATACTTCTAGCTGTGAATAATCCATCTGTATATATAGCAGCGACTAACCAGACCAGGAGGGTGTTCCCACAAATCTGCTTTCAGGATGCCTTTTAACTAAGCATCTGAAGAAAAGCATAGATTCACGTGTTCTTTTACTGCAATTAGAAGAAACTTCGCCAGTTTCATAGATGAAATTTAGAGGCAACAGGAATCACATTCTGTGTATACAACTACAAATGTAAGAGTGAGTCCAATTTCTGTTCTGTTCTGCAGGTGCAAATCACTAGAGTAATTGAGTCCAAACTGTCCCATATTATTTACTGAGTAGATGTGAATGATGACTTCAGAAATACTGCACTTTACTTTGTTGCTGTCCATTTAGCATCTTTTTAGAACAATGTCATATACCAAATAGGTGCCAATGATTTGCCATGTAAGTAGGTATGTAGACTCATTATAAAAATCCCAACTAGGTTCCATTAAAAAATACTGATTGCATACAGTGGCTTATTTAAAAGCTTAACAAAAAAGTTTCTTTATTTTTTTCTCAAGTAAAAAAGCAATTAGATTTTGTAATTTTGTAATGGATTAATCACTTGCCAACTGCCCCATATTTCTAAAATAATATTTTAACAAATAATATTCTAACATATAACATACAGTCTAACATAATATTCTAACATACTAGAAACCTAAACAAAAAATCTAAAGGTGGTAGCATGGCACTATATATATTCATTTAGGATTCTTTTGGAGCATACAACAGTGTATATTTGAAAACAGATACAGCCATTGTATAGAAATTAAAGCAAACCAATTGTTGTCTGAAAAAAAAATGCATAAAATTTCAGTGAAGAATGTGAAGACCAAATGATAAACCCTTCATATTTAAAATGGAAATACTGATATAGCTTTTACTATATCATTAATTTCTGTTTGATTGCTGAAAATATTAATTCAGATGAAATAAACCAACTTAAACATTTCATCTGCCAGGGAATTTTTCATGCCTTTCCTTCAGGTCATATTTTATTTGTAAAAGATTTCATTAATTCCTGATACAATGTCTTGCAAAATAAGGCTAGTCTCAAAATCAAAGAGGGATCCTTAAATGATGTGTGCACCTGTAATGCATGAATTGTCCCTAAATGTATAGAATACATTGCATTTTAATTTTCACCAAATTTCATTATATTACCAGTTCTTTACTGCTTTACCAGGCTGTGTCTGGTTTATTACATTATACAGATAGAATTATTTTGACTGTCTTTTAATTTTTAGGCATGGGATTTGTCACTTCATATAACAATTAGAATTTATAAAAACCTTAGAGTTTAGCATTGCTGTTTTACTCAGAAAAAACCCAAACAAGTACCACTGTATTGCCTTGACATTATATACTGCATTTTAGTCTACATTTTCAAACAGAGCAAGTGAAATAA